GTCACTATTTTTGCTGTTTTATTCGTTGTTGTTGTTCTTTTAATTTTTTTTTTTTTTTGGTTCTCAATGTTTTGTGTTTAAAAAGTGTTTTAAAAGAAGGCATTTATAGGCATAGCCCGCCGTTTAATTCAGTTTTTTTTTTTTAAATTTCTGGTTACCTTCTCCAAAGAAGTCGGAAATAGTGACAAAATCTTTGAAAAGAAATTATGATAACGGTATTGCTTTCAAAGACTGCACGACACAAGAAGGTTTTGAAAATTGTCAAGACAAATATGTTACTGGCATCAATCCCACTCTTGCAACCTATTCCATTCGTTAAATTTTTGCTACCGCTCTCTCGAGCGCTAGCAACTACGTGTCTTTTTTACTGGAATACGCATGCTCGACTTCATGATAGGGAACTCTGGGAATACTACTGTAGATAAACTGTGCTATGTCAATTTCGTATTTTCATATGAAAATTCATATGACCTGGAGTTTTGTGTTCTGTTGTCTATAACGTGTACATAAATGTACGAAAAGTAACTTAGGTCTTATGATACCTTCCTGGATTTTTCCGGTAAACTCGGAAAAAACAACCCCGGATATCTTTTCCGAGTTTGCCGGAAAGGCCGCGGCCCGAGAAGATATAGAATTGTACCACACTGGAACACTATAAACTAGGTGCTTATTGATTCTACTGATCTCTTAAAAATTGTATTTTCCACCTCAAACTGAAATTACAGTAAACTACTAGTATTAAATGCTTAAAGCACAGTTAATGAGTTATGATATTGCCGGCATGAAGCCCACTCCACTCTAAATTGAGATCTCCCCCACCCGTCCCCCAAAACCACCTCTAGTACACCACTGTGTCTTGCTATTGATAATTAATCGATTCAGCAAATTAAACTAATGGTTCAGATAGCTGCTTCTGTGTTTTATGATGGCTATAGCTCTAGCTCACCTATTTTTTTTAGCTCACCTCAACAAAGTTGGGGGAGCTTACGTAATACCCTCGGCGTCGGCGTTGGAGTCAGCTAAAGTTAAAGTTTTTGGAGCAGTTTTCTTTTCAAGTACTTCTATGCCCTATTTTAATCAGAGATGCATGGAGGATGCTTCTTGTGTGTTTCATTGTACCAGCCAAGGTTTTAGATGCTGCAATTTCAGCTAAAGAATGACCAGGTTAATGTTTTTGGAGCAGGTTAAAGTTTTTGGAGCAGGTTAAAGATTTTGGAGCAGATCTCATTTCCAAGTAACTATAAGCCCTATATTGACCAAACTTGCATGGATGATACACCTAAGGATGCACACTACTGGACTTGCTTCAGATGCTGGATCTGACCTATATTTTCCGAATGAGTGTCCAGTTTTTGGAGCAGATCTCATTTCCAAGTAACTATAAGCCCTATATTGACCAAACTTGCATGGATGATACATCTAAGGATGCACACTACTTGACTTGCTTCGGACGCTGGATCTGACCTACATTTTTCGGATGAATGATCAGGTTAAAGTTTTTTGAGCAGATCTCATTTCAAAGTAACATTAAGTCCTATATTGACCAAACTTGCAAGGATGATACATCTAAGGATGCACACTAATGGACTTGCTTCAGATGCTGGATCTGACCCGGCCACATTTTCCGGATGAGTGACCAGGTTAAAGTTTTTGGAGTAGATCTCATTTCCAAGTAACTATAAGCCCTATCTGAACCAAACTTGCATGGATGATGCATCAAGGGACGAACACTCTCAATCTTTCTTCAGATGCTGGATTTGACTTACATTTTCTGGATGAGTGACTACGTTAAAGTTTTTAAGTAAGTCCATTCCCAAGCATCGTCTCAAGCCCCGGTTCGGAGTCCGCATATAGCTGGAGAGGATCGTACATTTTGGCCGTGGTTTGCGACGATGATTCCCAAGTAACCGCAAGCCCTATCAGACCAAAATTGCATAAATGTTGCCTAGGGATGCATATTCCTAGATTATTAGTTTAGTGTGGGACTTTGCCTTACTTAAAGACAACATTCGTTGAGATGAGCTCTGTAATCTCTGATTACCTATGTTTTTTTTAAGATAAGCTTGTAAAGTTTTAAATGGATTGACATAAGCATGCGCTCTGAGTGTCCTCTATAGTTAAAACTGGGAATCAAATATGGAGAAGGGGCGGGATAGTCATCGATAACAAGTTTTCCAGTTTAACAAGAATACAAGATACTAGTACTGTATCATTATTAGTGATATTTTTATGTCTTCAACAAAGCGGGAAAACATTGATTTGGTCTATTTGTCTATCTGTCTGTTGATGGCCATGTCCTATATAGATGTATAATGGTCCTGATCAAAGGATCAAAGGTCAAGATCACTATATCGTGTCCAGGTCATAACTTAAATTCTGAACTTTTTGACTTGGAACTTGAGGATTTTCTGCATATGACCTATAAAGGTGTTTCATGACCTTGACGGTCTGGCATAGCTGTAAGGCCCATTTTTAAAGCTCATTAGTTATCTACTAGTATATTTTTTCTTTCATTTTATAATAGCAAAAACAGGCTGACTTTGTGTAAAACTATGATGACTCGTCAAATTCTGCAATATAAGTGCCTATTTATTTTTAGAAGAAAACTGATGTATTTAAAGAGTAGGCAGAGACTGGAAAGGATTTTTTTTTTTTAATTTTCATTTTGGCGAAATTTTACTGTGTCATGACACCTTAACTGCGAATTTCACAGTTTTGTTTATGTATGTTTTTCAATGTAATTCAAGAAAGGTAAATGGATAATTTATTTAAATTTTTAGAAAACTGGATGTCTTAAACCTGACATGTATGGTATCAGTTGAAGATATTTACACATCTACCTTAATCTGCTTTGCTTCTTACGGTGAAATCCAAGACACGGAATTTTGTAAGTAATTGCTTATATCCTATGTATGTAAATGAAGTAAAACTGATACAGATGACATTTATGTCGAAAGACAAATCGACCCTTTAACAAAGAATGAATGTTTCATGGCGGCGATGTATCGTTGTTGGTATCCCAAACGTTCTTCACATTGATTTCCTTGGAAGCATGTGGATTCAAAACCGTGGTTGCAATGATGGCGATCTATTTGTTCCCCATTTTCTGTTGAAGTACCTTCAAATTACCTTATATGTCTAACAGAAACTAAAATTCGGATTTTAGGACTTATTTCTAAACGACAGATTCGTAAAAGTTTATGCCATAGAGTTGTTGACTGGAAACATTTATTTAACTTAAAAGAACGGTCACAGTGCCCTCATTGGTATGAGGTAGATTAAAGCTAAAGAAACATAAGATTTTTGCGATAAATATTTATAGTGAAATCTGAGGCCGCTGTGTGTTGTCATTTCATTTTATCATGGTAACGAATCTTAGGGAATATTGGATTTCTTTCATGTTTATTTTTTATGTACAGCTTTCAAATTAACATGACCAAATAAAATTGGCCCCACAAATAGGATGGGGTCAGTCTGAAAGGAAAAATGGTGCATTATTCATTTAATATAAATGATAACATCTAGAAAAAATGCCAGGACGTTACGCATCGGGGTCACATTTTGGGTGTTTTGAATCTTTATTGTGGGTCTGTAGGTTTTCAGGTGAAAAGGTGAAGAAATTTGAAGTCCCTATTAATATTGTGGTCCATACAGAGTTACAGTCACCCGCACTATTTATCATTGAAGATGTTTATCTCCGGTGAAAGAAAACAACGATTTAAATCAACTATGGTGAAATGAATTTCATTATATTTATCCTTTCTTTACAGATTATTATCCTGATATTTATCATATGTGTTTGCTAATATATGTTGATGATGACAAGGCTTTTTTTTTCTTTTGGGAAAAAAATTGACCACATTTGGCAATATTAACATTTAGAAGTGCCTCCATTATAAATATCAAATTGAACATAAGGAGTGAATGTACTGTGGTGCGAGTCTTTTGGATGATTAGTCGACTGGAGCTACAGCCAATTCTTTTTATAACAGCATTCGAAATCTATACGAATTACCACTCTAATCGAATTATCACCACATAGATCCCGAATAGGAAAGTCAATTAAAATTCACATTCTTAACTTAAAAGTAACCACGTAAAGATTGTACTTTGTAGATTGTTTATTTATCAAATTTATTACTATTCGGTTTTAATAGACTTAACTTGATATAAGTTTATAACTAAGGTGCGCGAAAGAATATGATATTCAAGTCTACGTGCAACCTGTAATTTTATATTTTAGACTTTGTGATTTGAATGTTTAGTGAAAAAAACCTATTGATTGCAATTGCTTACTTTGATCTCCATTACGTGAATTCATTATGCATAAATATTAAAAAAGGGTTAAGATTCCAGAAAGGGAAGACAGTGTCAATCGGGAAAATCACTCGGTCGACTTGACGGAAAAGTCCTAGTGATGTCCCGATAGAAGGAAGTGTGCATCCACTTCCCCCATTAAAAACAAGCATTTAACAGTTCTAAGAGATTTGTGAAAAGTGTCTTCTTTTTCAGTCATATTTAGGGTAATTAGTGAGTGAGTAGCTTATGATAATTCTATGCATTTTTTGTGGAACGCCACAGCTGCCTTATGGGATGGGTCTTCATTATGATGAGAGGATTTTACATTATATGCTGTGGTTATTTCATTATGATGAGGGAGGTTTACATTATATGCTGTGATTATTTCATTATGATGAGGGAGATTTACATTATATGCTGTGGTTATTTCATTATGATGAGGGAGATTTACATTATATGCTGTGGTTATTTCATTATGATGAGGGAGATTTACATTATATGCTGTGGTTATTTCATTATGATGAGGGAGATTTACATTATATGCTGTGGTTATTTCATTATGATGAGGGAGATTTACATTATATGCTGTGGTTATTTCATTATGATGAGGGAGATTTACATTATATGCTGTGGGTATATAATATATATATAACTGCAGCTACCCCCATACACTTGATGATAATAAAAAAATTTTAGAACAGTTAGCATATCAAAATACATTTTATTTCGCTATTAGAATTTATTCAATAAATGCCTTTGATTATATAAATAAAAAACATATACATCAGTAAATAAATTGAACATATTGTAAATTGCTTTCTTTCATATACCGAGGAGCACTAACTCACAACAGCGAATGTGACAAGCATTTATAAGTAACATAATATTGTCTATTCGTGTTCAATAATTTTAGATGAATGCATGGAAAACTGTTCTGATAGCTTCGACAATTGATAAAAAAACATATTTTGAAATCGATGCACTTGATACTGGTATCAAAATATTTCATATCATCACATTTATATTTCCATTTGGCTGTTATCTTAAGCTATAAGGGTGGCATTGATGCCGTTTTAGATGAATTTGACGTGAGCTTCCGTACTTTATTGATGTAAATTGTAATAGATAACCCGATGACAAAGCTTTGATTAAGATTTTAACACAACTTAATGAGACACCATGAAGTAAATAGCTTCGTATCAGTTGCTGATAAATCGTTACTATGGCAATAAAATGGCGTGCACCGTTCATCATTTATAATTCCACACCAGAATATAATACGATTATTACCATAATTAAGTTTCTTATCAAGAATAATTTTGATAATAATCATACCCAAGCATCGATGTCGAAAAGCCATCTCGCCATGATTAAATGACACAAGCTACATGTAGTTAAAGAAGTCGATTTGTTTGAATACTCATAGACTCTGATGACGTCATACACTCAGTCTCGTTGTCAGTGTAAGATAAAGATAAAGCCATCCACACAACAACTTAAAAGCAACTACATTTACATGAAAAATCACTTGATGAAAGTTAATTCACAGAACGCAATGTCGAATTATACGTATAAAATGTACTGTACAGTTTATTCTTATCAGAAAGTCTATTCGAACTTTCGAGAAGAAGGGCTGCTCTCATTTTCAATGAAAGACATAATGCGCCCAACTAATGTTTTCAAAATCCATATTATTTCACCACTATGAACACCTGTGTATTCCTATTGAACTCGGAATGCAGTGATCATTGCACATTAAAGCATTTGATGCTGTAAATTGCACGTTGTCTATATTTCATACAATGTAATCATGAGCTTGCTTGAACCGGAAATGAATAAGCTCTGTTCATGGGAATAATGACATGCACATTTCCTGCATCATCGATGACAGGGGCACTGGGGCTTGGTCGTTCTCTATAAATAGCACCGGCTTCTGAGGGGGATAGCGGCGGGACGTCATCGGGTTCTTCCAGCTTCTCTTTTTCGCTTATTTCCGCTTCCTTTGTTTTTGCGTCTAGTAAGGAATCTTGTGTTTCCTTAGGCTCATCCTTCTCTGTATAACGTTTACGATTTGATGGACAGCAACATAGTGTTTCTTTAAGATACTCTTTAAAGGTGATTTTTTGACTTCTTTTCTTGACGATTCCGTTGTCCAGCTTGACTTCAGCGTCCATGACAACCTCAGGGTACCCTGAAAGAAAGTTTGAAACCAAAACTTGAGACTTAGATTTATATATAATTGATTGATGACGTACTCAACCCTTATTATCAAGATTTTTTCCAGGTTTTAACACTAGAGTCTCATGCTAACTCTTATACGTGCTTTGTCTTAGAACATGAACTTGAATGTATTTAAAATTATTTCCTGCAAAATCAATTCAGATTATACATGTAATAAGAAGGGTTTACCTTCTCTAAATTTATTGCAGATTTCATACACAATGTCCTCCCTCTCCACCAGCCTGAGACATTTAAAGAGGTGACTGATGGCCTCCGAGTTCTCTCCCTTCCATTCCCGCCAATCCTGAAGGTACCCATTGATGGCATACTTGTGGTCTTTGTCTGAATAATGTTCAATATATTTCATAAAAATAAATGTGCATGATAAATTACGAATAATAGAATGATATGACAACATAAAGGCAAGAAACAGTAAGTTTTGTCAACTTTACCTTTGTATTTTTCAACAATGACCTCGTACATTGCGGGCTGCATGTGTTCCCTAAATAACTCTTGAGGGAGCTTCCAGATCTGACGGTCTATTCGATCTTCGATCTCGCGGAAGGAGGCGGCAATAACTGAAAGAATTTAAAAAATCAAGTTCAAAACACTGATTTATTTTGGTTCGTTTGTTTGTTTTTTTTTCATCAATCAGTGATCCAAGTTACATGTGTACCTTTTCTACTGTACGACTCGTCACCCTCTGACCGGGTTACTATTCTTTCCAAAAGGCTTTCTATCTGGTCCTTGGAAAGTGCGTCGTCCTTCGACTGCGCACGACGTCGTTTCCAAAGCAAGAACATAACAAGGAAGAAGATCAAGACAAGGAAAATGATGGCACCGACTGCTGCACCTGCGTATAAGGGAGCTGATGCTGACGACTGTAGCGCCCTCTGTGAACCAGTCGCAGGTCCTGGGTTTGTGCAATTAGATATATCTGCAACATTGAACAGGTGAGATGCAAATAGGATCACATTAATGGAGTAAAGAAGAATGTAGAAGGAGTCAGTTTTAGTATATTATAAAGATTTTATGTATCTAACCTTTTGTTGGTTGATCACATTCATTATTGAAAGTCCCGTTACTTCTCCGTTTAGTACAACGATTCTCCTTCTCACAGCTGAAATACAAAACAAGGATTGATCTTGTAGACCTTTCTGGGTATTATTATCAATGGTGACATTTACAAAAGATTCTACCGTAATTTTAAAAGGTTACTTACTTTCGAAGCACTTGACATCTTTGAACCTTATCGGCCTTGTCTGAGTACATATTGCGTTTGTGACAATCTTCACATTGTCCTTAAATTTTCAAGAAAAAATTAAAATAAAATCCAAGATTAAGTGAAATCAAAACTAAAGTCTTCCAAATTTAAACATTTTTAGGAAACTGTAAGATAAGAAAATTGTATATACCATAATCTGTTTGCCCCCAGCCAACTGGACACACGCTGTTTGGGACACAATGTGTGTGGTCTGTATTCAGGAAGTGATATCCCGGTGCACATCGACATTTCGCGTCCCGGAGTGCACTTCCCTGATCAGCATACTGCATGTTTGGTCGGTCACATGTGGTCCTGTAGACATGGAATGAAAATAAAATGCTTTCATCACCAAGTTCACAGAAACATTGGTAAAATCTCAACCCAAGAGGCTGGTTGTATTCCGAGATGAAAAAACAAACAGATCTAAAACGATCTGATTATCACTATCAACTTCCTAGAATTAAAAAAAAAAACATACTTCGCTTTACATTTGTCCAGTGGTCCATTTCTGTCTGGCTGATAGGACTTGGAGTCGCACTGGACACAGCGGGCACCTCTATCCTGAGGACAGGTCTCATAGTAGTGACCTATAACAGAAGAAAGATTCTGTAATCTGTTGGTAAAATCAACTGGTGTCATAATAATTCCGGATTTATCTATTGGTTTAACTTGTATATTTTACTTATTGCAAAAGTGATGGGAGAATTTTTTTTATTTACATATTTGCTTTGTAAGCTTAATGGATTCCTTTCTATAATATAATTATATAGGTCCCATAACCAATGCGAGTTAGTAAATTCGAGTTCCTTTAAATATTTTTTTCTATTGTAAGAAAGAGTATTTTAACATGCATGTTTTTGATATTCTTTTGCATTATCTATTAGTTTTATGTATGAACAAGTTTTAGTAAGGGGTAACTTAAAAAAATTCCTGCAAAGCAGTAGTCATATAAGTGATTAATCATACAGACATATTTTAAATTATTTTTTTTTCACCGAAAAGATCACTTGGTGCGGATTAACAATTGAACTTTCGCTAAACTTTTATTTAAACTAAATACACGAATGTAAATAATTGAGGACAATGTTTTTTTTTATTTCCCCAGGTTTGGACACCCTTAAATCTAACACTCCATTGTTAAAAACTTCAGGGCTTTTATTTTTGACCACAGAAAAACAACTAAGCCTAAGTCGATCTAATCTTGGGTGTTTACACGTCACTTCCTGTCCATTGTCTGAAAACTCTCCTAAACGGTCAAGAGCTTGAGCATGGGTGGGCGGGGTCAGCCTACATGTGTATCTTGGTCACTGTCTAGATTTTTTTCTTTATTTTTCGATCTTTTTTTTTTGATTTCCAGGATACAGAGTTCAGAGGATACAGGATACAGAGATAAAACAAGATGTTGAGACAGATTTGTTAGTTTTACTGAAACTCTCCTTTTTTATTGTCGATATAATGCATTCATAGTCTTTTTTATGAGAATCGGAAAGTGGTTTTGATATATTTCTGCTTTTGAATTGAGAAATATTCATTTATAATGCAAATATTGCCTTCCTCGTTTAGGGATAACTTTATGAAGCTGGTTTTAATTCATGAGGGGATATTGTGAAATGTTGAAATGTTTTTTGTTCAGGTATACAAATTATTCCTCGTTCATACAACACCGGATTTCATCTGAAGCCGACTTGTACACGTTCATTTGATGTTTTCCTCACCAACTAAAGTCTTAATAATTTATATCTTTCATTATAAAATATCTTAGTTACATGTTGTAAAGTGCTTATACATCAAAAGCACTAGACTATTGAAGGAGAGGGGTGCGGAATCGTGGTGCACTCTCGGCTTAGCAAGACTTTTATCAAAAGGATCCTCAAAAGTTCTAAAAATAATGCATAAATATAATTGCTACGAAATAAAACAACTTGAACAACAGTGCATTTTAATAGGACTCGATCAGATTCTGGAATGTATACCAGAACAGTTTCTTACACTCTGTATCCTGGAAATCAAATTTACAGATGGACTCATTACAATGATCACTTAACAAACTCGGCCATCTTTCATTAAATAAAATGTTGATTAACAAATGCAGAAAGCGCTCAATTCTCTGCTTTAGTACATTGAATCCCCAATGATACTAATTAACTTAATAATCCGGTTTATTGCAAATTTCTATACAACAAAATTGATAGAAATGCATGCTACAGCGCCCCTTCCTGTATCAATTAAACATGTTTCAATTAATATTCTCCAATGTCAAAAGTAATTCATCGGAGAAACTATCAATGACGGCCGCCTCTTGAGATCGTCTGTAGGAGAAGTTTAATTGCCGTGATCATTGCATTCCGCTTCTTGGACTCAGGAAAAATAGATATTGGAAATTAACTCCGGTCGTTCATTACGGAATAATGAAACTGACATTGCAAGAGAAACAAACAGGGCCTTGCTATTGATTTTCCCGGTTTACATCGCCCGGTGATATATCTGTCTTTTCCAGCTCTTAGAAGTCATTTCCAAGATTAAGCCTTCCGCTTTCTGCGGAGACAGATTTGTTAGTTTTACTGAAACTCTCCTTTTTTATTGTCGATATAATGCATACAGAGTCTTTTTTATGAGAATCGGAAAGTGGTTTTGATATATTTCTGCTTTTGAATTGAGAAATATTCATTTATAATGCAAATATTGCCTTCCTCGTTTAGGGATAACTTTATGAAGCTGGTTTTAATTCATGAGCCGTTATAAAGGGGATTTTGTGAAATGTTGAAATGAATAATTAAATTAGTTTTCCATCGATTTTTCATATTCAAAGTGAATTCTATGGTTGATTTCATGCTGTTAATTACCTTTCACTAAATAATGAATGTATACTTTTAATTAATTCCAGGAATCAGATTTTTCGATAATAATCAAAAAAATATATAAGAACTTACCTGACGGGCAATACGTGGTGCTCTTAGAACATTTTGACGAGGTCTGTCCAGTGTTTGTCCCAAACTGAAAGAAAAAGAAATGTTTGATCGTCTGTCAAAAATTATTTTTAAAGAATTTAAGCTTAATATATTCAGAACACCCACCATCTTGACTGTTCAATCTTAAAACAGAATTTTTGGAATTTTAGCACGTGGACCAACGAATTTGTTTAAACTTGAACAATTTTTCAACAAAACGCTGCCTTTTTTTATCTTACTTATCGGCTTAGACCTTTGTGGTTTTGTTAAAATACAGCGATGCTTTCTGTTGGCAAGACTAATGAGTCAGATCATAAAGACGGAGCCCAGGATTTTTCTCTAATTGTTACTATTTTTTTTCCAAAATATTTTGTAGTTTTTCATTCGAACAAGCGAATAAGATTTATTTTATAAACATTCTCAAGAGAAAGCATAACTGAAATAATGAGATATTCTTTTTCGTCTGTTTATTTTCGGTTGAAACTAATTTACAAATAGATAAAAAGTTTAAAGGTTTTTTTTCCCAATGAAAAATCAATACTGTTTCTTAAATGTTTTGAATAATAGTTTTATCAATAAATCTAAAAAATATTTTAAAAGGATCTCGTAAACAGTGGAACCTGGTTATGTGTAAAAATGAAGACATCAAAATAACTTGTTCTAAATTTCTAGCGTATACATGTAGGTTTTCCAGCTCATCTATGGAACTAATAGAGACATTTAATCTGTTCAAATGTTTCCTTCTACTATTTTTTTTATATCAATATTGGATGTGGAATATTGAACAAATCGAAATATTTCAATAATAACTTGTCTTATTTCCGTTGACAGGGAAAACATTTAAAAATGAATATTGGTTTAATAGAGAAAATTGTATGCTTAATTGGAATACGGGTGTGTGATTTCTCTTACCCGGGCTAATATTGACTCACAATTGGTGTCGGGATATTTAATTCTCAAATAAAGCTACAGAACTTACAATTAGTGACCGGTCTCGTATTTTAAGTTAACAATTCCATGTACAGCAATTCAGAGACAGAATTGTAATAAGACTTGTGTCAAGAACTTACAGGACACAAAAGGTCATATTTACTTTTCTACAAGTAATTCAATCTTCTTCAAAAACATAATACAGGTAGGCACCAAAATTGTCTGATTATGAAGTGGGTAATTTACTGCTGAAATTCAACTCAAATACCTTGCATTCAAGTTCAAGAATGTTAAAATGTATGTAATTTAAATAAGTTGTTGAAGTACACCTTACTTCTAAACGAAGGTGTAGGAATTCACACAGTTAATATACTTCATTAAAAAGAGAGAGAGAGAGAGAGAGATATTTTGAAACCCGAAAAGGGAAACACTTATTTTATGGATGTAATCAATTCTGCCAGTTGAAAGCCCTTGTATCATTTTTCTTGTTATTCAAGTACACTTCTGCCGAGCTTACGGAGTGGGTACGAAAACACTTAAGCAGAACAAAGTCAATTATTGTCGAGGATGTAATTCGCAAAAATTCCCGACTTTTATATGACATTTGAAAACCACCTTAGATTTGTAATAATCTCATTTATATTCTTAGACATGAATTTAACAGGAAACTAATCACGGTAAATCGAATCAATTACAGAAGACAAACCCAGTTCAGAAAACTGTGAACCACCGGAAAAGGAAAATAACAGTCATTTTGACACGGGGGGGGGGGAAGTCCTTTGGGAAATACTTACTACAGTGTACGGGGTGTGGCAGATCACCTGGCCACAGTTACTGATGGACATGCTTAATCCTCAAAAAATAAAACACACACAAAGAAAATTACACATCCAAATCAGCTGCAGTTTTCATCTATATCACTATGTCCTGATGTGACTAGTTACTGTATACACGGCTCCCAAATGTTACACAAATATCAACATAAATTCCTCATATCCTATGACAAACTATTATCTACAAACTCAATACACAAAATTTGGATAATTGTTTAACAAACGTATGCGCATGTCAGTTGGTAGCAATTTTTTTCCATGGCTAGAAATAACATCGTTAAAAAGAATAAAGACCGAGTCCCTTCACAAGTTCTCTTTAAATCGGAACAATCACCGTGAATAATTGTATACTTTTCAAACGGCAAATTATCTCAAGCAGTTCTTCCGCCATCGAACCGCGCTGCGTGCCGGGGTTTATTCCTGAAGTTCCAAAGAAATCAGTCTTAACTCACACAAATCTTGGTGCTGTTTTTCCCCGAAAGCGTTCGATACAATGTCTCAGAAAGCCAGGCCTCTCCGATCGATGAGGACTAGCCAGTCTTAATTAGTGCTCAAAAACCCCGTCCCAGATGGAGATTTCACAAATGTATAAACGGCTTAAATCTATCTCTCCATCCATCTTCATTTTCGAATTTCCCTTCTTCCAAGAATTTTTGCAGAAAAATCGATTTAATTAACGCCTTTTCGTCACCTTGGTAATAATTATGGACTGAAAGAGAAATATTTCTAGAAGACTTTGAAATTCGAACCCTCCTAAACTAAGCAATTACTGGGCAGCTTTGACGTTCCTTGTCCAAAGACCAGCACCAGATTGGTTTAAATAAAGATTTCCGATACACATAAAAAAGTTGATGTAAAATTTTCCTGAAACATCTGCGTCCAGTCTCACAGAAATGCAATAAAGGAGAAGGTAAAATACTCGGTACAGGCAGACTCAAAAGATTGAAACACAACCAATAAAATAATGTTTGTTTTACTTCTGATCAAGATATCGTGCGAACTTTTCATATCGTCACTATCCTCCCCAAAGCATTGGTTTTCAATTTTGCTGGTTCTACCAAGATCACGGAGAGCAATATAGAATTCCCATATAACCACTTTCTACAACATCGGAAACTTTTACCAAATTAATTTGCAATTTTCACAGAAACAGAACACTGTTTTAGAGAGAATATTGACTAATATCGTCTCAGGCAGCGAGCACTAGTTACCACATACGATGCCGATAGCACAGACCGCGGGATAATTGTCTTTGAAATATCACCAATATTGACTTCAAGTGTGTTATTGTTCCTCTCTTGAGAGGAAAGGAAAAATATCCTTCAAAACTCTTGAAGACCAAAAACAGAAAACTCAATAAAGGAATTGGTCGATATGAAAAAAAAAATGGCCAAGTTCTGGAAACCACCTGATTTTATCACTAAAGCTCGCGTTATAATCAAATTCTGCTAAGCACGTGATAGGATTGAGAGTATTCAGCTGGGAATACTATTATAATGAGAACATTTTCTTTTATATCAAAATGATACCTACCGAATCAGAGACATCGCCCGTATCGCATATTATATTAGAACAACGAGATCCAAGCATTGTGAATATTCAAACATCCATCCTCACACCTCTGCAATACGATACACTGTGGGGTTAGTAGAACACACTCAGACCACTCTGCAACCGGAGATCGGGGGAGGGAGATTAGTTATCGATACACACTTAAATGGCCAAGGAGAAAGCTGATGCCACCTTTCCAAAGTTGCAAGAATTTGAAAGTTTTTATTGATAGTTAAATGTGGACAGCGTGTCACATTGGTTGGGTTAAATGAATATAATCTTCCACTGACACAGAGAGAATGCGCTTAACTCCTCCTTCCGTTAAGAAGTTTTAACTACAGCTTTCAGTTTGTATACCCTTCCTTGAAACTCCCTCGTAATTTTCAGGTGAATTCTTGAGCTGATTAGAGAACTATAAAAGGCTGGTGCGGGGTCTCGGTTGAAAAGTTAAATTTTGCAGATAAAAGACAAGTCATATTTTTAGTCATTAGTAAACATGACAACAAAAAGTAAACAAGTCCCAGCATTTAACAACTGCTATCCAATGATACAGGTACGTAAAATGTCCATGTCCGTTTGATGTTACTTTTAAATATTACAAGGTCTATTTGTTTTCTTCTAATATAGAGTCGATATAACACATTTAAAGGCAATTGCTTGTTTGCCACAGTTTTTCGTTTTATAGAGGTGGAAAACTTCAACGCACAAATTATTCCAGAATAGAAAAGCTTGACGTATGTATAAATCAAAAGAAAGCAATATCTGGCAGAAGACGTAACAGACGTATACTTATATACAGACTTCTTTGTGAAAATCAAAATAACAAAACTAGACATTTTCTCATCATTTCAGAGAAAAATTCCATGGCAACGTTATTTAAAAGATAAGGAGCACTAGTACGTAATTACCGCAGAAGTTTGAAAACATGGGTAAAACAGTAATAAACACGATTCTAATCCAAGTAAAATATTCACTACATCTGTTACAACAATATGTGTTTAGAAGCTCGAATTAATATAATAAAAGACGTATGTAGCTATTGAATTAACGATTTTACAAGTGTCGGAAAATAATAAAGAAACGTGCTGTCCATAAAATGTGACATTGGGGACAGGTTGTCAGTTCACCTGTGTTTTAAGCCAGGTACAAAAGATCTAGAATTACGGAACAAAGTACTGGTTTATACAAGTAAGTTGTTCACACTTAAGTCTTCTGTTTATTTTCAATATCATGTATTTTACATATCTTAATGGGAACTGATAAATTTTGTGTTAAATTCCCCTTTTGAACTGACGTGCATGTATACCACTTACACAATTAACTGGATGCCCAACAGTACAGTAACTATTGACATTTATTTTCAGTGTCTCATCTCGGAAATATTTTGTTACATGGACAGCAGATGTAAAAATATTTAACATCGTTGCGACAACGCACGGCTAAATTTGGAGGACCTGTGTGCACATCGTGCAAAAATGAGCTCATCTGAATAAAACTGATGCCCTTGCAATGAACTGCACTCAGTTTAAATTTTCTCTCATTGCATATATGTCTCAAAGTATGGACCAGTTTGGAGGTTGAGCCGTCTCTTAAATATATTTCGAATTATCAGAATGCTAAGTAGATTTTCAGTGTACAGACTTGTTAAGCGGATATTCTGTTTAATGTTCCTGACATTTATTTCTGACATTGTTGATAATTGATAATGGCAAAGTAACTTATCAGTGGGAAAATATCAACCCCATCGATTTCATTGTTAGTGCAGCAAGCAAGAGAAGATAACTCCTGCATTTGTACGAAGAAGATAAGAGTGGCCTCCCGTAGCAAATAGATACAATCTCCAAACAATAAACATATAAGAACAAGACAAACACCCCTAATGGACAGATACACATCTGCAGATAAAGTACTATGGATAACATGTATTCAGCCTTTTTCTGACCGTTAATATTAACATAATCTAAACTACTGAACGATAATATTAACATAATCTAAACTACTGAACGGAAAATAACGTTTGCTCATCATCATTTCAACATCAAATTAATTGGGTTTTTTTTCTTTTTAATTGATTTAAGTTTAAAAAACTTTTCAAATATTAAAAAACAATAAAAACAGAAGGTTTAATTTTTCGTATAGATAACATAATCTTTGACATTTCAAGAAATACATAATTTTAAAATTTTAATATCTATGTAAAGCGGAATAACTCCTTTGATTCTATAATATATTATCACTATCAGGGAGAGACAAAATAATTAAATAAATTAGACCATTACAGAATAAAGAATAGAAATAATATATTTCACTCGCGATAGACATATTACTTAGCAAATGAACATGCAGGTGATGCAATAAGTCCACGAGAAAAATACATATGTTACATATAACATCCAACAGTGACTCATTCTGCACACAGGAGCAAAAACACCAAGCTTCCAAGCTTAACCTACAAGTATTTTAAGTATGTATACCATTGGATATAATTCTGTCACAAATGTTTATTATTTAACACTTCCCATTCTGAAGTCCACTTTCGTTTTTCACTATAGCGTGTAAAACTGTATACATAACTTTTTTTTCTAAATTGTTCACAGTATAGTCATATTTTTAAAAAAATATTTTCTTACCTAAATTGTTTACACTAGTCATTTTCAATATTTTCTTGCCTTTCTTAATTGTTTACAATAGTCATATGATTCTTTATTTTCTTACCTTTCTAAATCGTTTACAGTAGTCATATTTTTCAATATTTTCCTGTCCACGACAAAGACTAATCATACTTTCATCAAGTTATAATCCCTCAACAATTTAAAATGAATATTCTCCCTTATATAACATAAGACGGCCACAGACTCCCGTCTTCACATTCAGCAGGTATAAGATACACGTCCTGATTTAGATGATACCTATATGACGAACATCAACAATGAGACGATTTTGAACGATGAATTTTGATCTCTTTTTTTTCAATTATAGACACCAGGTAAAGGCGAGTATTCGCTACCCTTCATGATTTTGATATTGGTGTCACGCAACGTGAGAGTGGGGTTCCGAGCCGCTTGGGAGGGTAATGCAATAGACCAATGATTTCATCTTGTAAAACTTGGAAGATACTTTTGTATATCAAGAAAATGAAGATTTTAAAAAGCTTTCTGTGGTACGTTTTCCGAATGGCATTGTTCACTGCCTGGTACAGACAGCTGCTGCGTGTTTTAATCCTTTGTTTCATTTTCTCAAATCAATCCATGCATTCTTTATTTTTTTATTAGTCTCTTGAATAATTCAAAAGTTTTAAGACACGACTTCCTTTGGAATTCAAACATCTGAAATGTATGTAAATATCCGATAGTGGAAAGAAACAAAGCAAATGCAAACTGATACTCGTTGTGTTTAAAAAAAAATCGATAAATAAGATAAGGAAAAGAGAGACAAAAGGGAGAAAATAAAATTAATTCTAAACATCACAATGTAACACACTAGTACATGTACAAGTTAATTAAGAACTGTTCTACAGGGGGTGGTGGATTAAGCCCAGTGAGGTGGAACGTTGAAGAAGTGGTAGGGGACGGTCTAATGAGTGTTTTAAAACAAGGGAAAGTCCAAAGGAACGTCAAGAAATTGAAACTTTTTCCTAAAAATCTTATCTGCCAGTATTAAAAAAAATACCCATTTCACAGTCAACGCTGGCCACCGATACATTAACAGAATTAGTTGGAACATTGACTCTCTGTCATTTCTTAAATTATTTTTTTTTTCATCCTTTATTCACTTTAAAAGGGTAATTTTTATTTTAAACACATGCCCTCATCCCCCAATTTTCCTAAAATACAGAACACACAGGAAAACCCGATGTCCCTTCGAAAGGCCTCCTAAACTGAGGGTTTTTAAGCTTGGTTAAACTTCAATAATCGAATTTGTGTCGTTATAGAAACTGTTCATTATACCCGGTTACACGGGCTTTAAACCCTAAAAATACACAAAGGCAACCCCCTCGCATGGTAACAAAGTTTAAAAAAAAAATAAAATGGATTTTGTTGAATTTCACAATCAACACAAATATTTTACCGACATGAATAGTCTCGATATAAAGGCTGTATACACAGGTGTAACCTTGGATATCTAAAATGTTTTTTATTCAGATAAACTCGTGTACCCCATGTCTGACTAATGCCTGTCTCGAATTTTATGATTCAAATCTGAACTGAAACCCGTCATATCCTCATTGCTGTGGTGACTTTATAAAGCATTGACGCTCTTACTTTTCCTTATAGTTTTGAAAAATAAAGCCAATTTAATCATTTTATTACCAGTATTGAGATGTACACTTGAAATTCTTAGTTAAAATCATTTTGAGAAATTCAATGAAAACATAGTTTATATATTTTTTTGCAAAAAAAGTAAGAATATATATAAACTTCACCCCTCATTAAAATTAATCCCCAAAATACATTCAAGTGGATTCATTAGATATTAAACTTATTTTTAAAAATGAATTAGTGCAAATCATAAAATGTATACATAATAAAGGGATCAAAGACTTTCAACCTTGTTTTGCAAATTGAAAAGAAATATGATGTAAATATGAATTATGAAAGCAATACATGTGTTGGCATTTATCTCATTTTTACGAGAGCCTTATTAAAACCTCATTTCTTACTTGGTTGATTTCACAGGCATCGACGAACCTGTATACTTAACACAGTCATCTAGATAAATAGACGTAGTATCTATAGAAACCAATACACCAAGCACCTGAGGCTAAATGATAGAAATGTATGGTCCGGTCCTTCTTAGCAAGGGTCCGTCAATCGTAACCTTCTAAATCGTGGATTACTTCCGGTTTCTGAATCATGGTACTGACTGTATACTCGATTTACTTTGTTACGTATTCTTTTCATTTTATATGTAACATTTTTACGATGTGGGAAGAAGGCTTTCAATTCATGTTTATTTTATGAAGAATACAATGGGTAACAGATACCATATCACATAAAAATGTGTTAGACAAAGTCTACAATTTCGTTCAGAAACTGCGCTTTATTTCATCTTAATAGCCGTGCTGGCTGCATTTTATGAGATAGAATGACGACACATATTTGAGTAAATACATTTATTGTCAGAGGTTTCGGGCATATATACATAAATAAATGAATATTTATGTAACATGCTTAACCTCATTAAAACATACAAGAATATATTGTTCATATTTCTGCCCGCTGCCTTCCTTGTTGTTGGGGTAGCGTAAATGAGAATGCTATAGATAACAGTAAACACTACACTATGGGTGATCGTGTATCTGAGCAATTACATCTGAAAACGTATAACGAAAATAAAGTAAAAAAGAATTTTTTTTCTGCAAAAACCTCTTTATTTATATTGAAAAAGGACATTATCTTTTATTTTGAAAAAAAAAGGTTTAGAACATCGTGACAAAGAAATCATCACTTTCCTCCAACTTGGACGAAAAATGTTTACTTCAAGTGCAAATTCTTTATATACAGGTTTTTAAACACAACCAATAGTTTGCTAACATTTTATGACATCTGTCATGGAAATTTTCAACAATTATTTTATTCAGAATTTGAAGAGACGAATTTTATTTCATTTTAATTTGGAAAAAAATTAAAGCAGTTTTCTCCTTTGATATTTTCAAAAACTTAACTTTCTTGCATCTCTCAACTTTTGAGACACAATTTCTGGACATGTAAAAACCCTCTTACTTTCAGGGATAGCGGATTTTATTTCGATAGTGGAATCGTGCGAAGATGAACCTTTCCTGTAATAATTCCTCGCGGACAGGCAGTAACGCGAAATCGATCATAATTCCATCAGGCCCATCTTTCTAACCAAAAAAGACACGATGTAGTTTCCAAATCATTTTTTTCAATCGACTTTTACTTTGGCGTAACGTTATCTAAATTACAAATAATGAGGTAGACTGTGCAGTATGGAGCCTCAAACATTATTAAGGAGGACACAGAACGCTGAATGAACAAGTATTTATGGTTCTACAAGGACAGAGACAAAAGAACAGAAGAAAACAGAAAGAGGGGAACCTGCACCGAAACCAACATTATTCTTTATTACATTGATGTATCATGATTAAAAGAAAATTTAACTAATGTTTCGAGAGTACAAACCCGCCAACCTCCACAAAGTTTATACAACAATTAAAATTGATTAATTCTTTTGTATTCATAATCAATGAAACGAATTTCTTCTTCTCTTTACCTTGTATAAATAATTGAAATTGTAATGACCGATAGAGAGAGTAAGTAAACAACAGTAAAAATTAATGACAACCTGAGGATTTGAAGCTGTTTGAATTCTACATTGAGCTATACAATTTTTAAATTTTCATGCTTAAAATGAAGCAGAGGACAAACAACTTTATTCTTGTATACTTACAAGTGACTCTCACTATATATAACTACATAAATTCTCTCCTTTTTTACCATTATCGTATACTACTGCGTTATTCACTTTCAAATCTCCTTGATAAGATTAAAAAAGGATACCTAGGGAGATGTTAAATATATACCTCAATCTTCCCCGTGAGACTCATATCAGTCGTAGGTCAGGTGTTTGATGTGATAAAATAAAATCCTCCGTCAACGACAAAGGGTTTAAAGTCCTTGGAAAGATGAAGACGGTGTCAACTTCTGTCCCAGCTCCGAAGGTTAATTACACCGACAGATGGCGGTCATCGTACAAGTGGACCGTAAATTGGAACAGGGAAGTTGTAATATTTGAAACTTCAACAATTTTTTTCATGAATCATATAGGTGTCATTTTACGGTTTCGTAAGCACTACATCAAAAATGAGTATTCGCCTTTGTTTCTGGCAAGCATCGAAACAATGGCAAAGTGGTGAAAAAGTATGCAAATGTAACACTATTAAATATTAAACACTCCTGGAGAAAAGAATCTGACACTGTTAACTTGGTATCCTTGTAATTACATTAACATCTCCTATCTGGCGTTATTAACGGGTTGTGAGAGTATGCCAGTCCTAAACACATTCCCCGCAGTTCGCGTTTTTAGCACGTGCGCGATGGAAAAATATAAATACAGACACTAATCACAGTAAGCAAACAAACGTTTCTGTCACAATCTAACGTACATCAAGTAAATTACTCTTATATAAAATCCCCAATAACTGATTAAATCAAAATATCATAATACGCTGGTAAAACAGTGTGTCCTTTATCAAGCAAGTAAAAGAAACGAGTTGTGTTTCACCGATTGTTAAGAAAACCAGCAATCACTCTAAAAATTTCGTTCCACTTCAATTCACATTCTCCATAGCGTTTATTTATGAAGGAACAAAAACTAGCGTCTTTTCCCTAATCTTCCACCCAAGCTCCAATAATGTCTTTTTGTGTTTTTCAAAACAATCCAGTAAAACAATAGCCTACGGTGAAACTGAGCAAAATAGAGTTTACCTTCTCCGACTCTGTATCTCGCTATGATGAGAGACCGCGTTCGCCGGCATATTGATTTTTATCGCTGCTAACACTTCCTACCTTCAATCAATTTAAGGTGAAACGTTTTAAAATTGTATCACATAATAGTAATATCAAATGACAAGACATAAATATGACAGAAATTTCATTCCACTGTTACCATGGCAGCCTTCATTAAGGCGATTTTTTTTTTCAACCCAAAATGGTCATGCAAACTCATCACAAGATGTTCGCTATTTTCATTTTCTATATGAATGAAAATTTCTCTTTAAACAGATGAAAATATACAAAACTTTTTTTCGACGATGTTTAGTTCATTTTTGTTTGCCTGATGTTTTAAATCTGACAAAATGCATCAAATTTCTCAAGAGAATCGTACGTGATTAAGCCCTATTGCATCAATGGGTGGATGTAGGAAACCCAACACGCGAACACGAGCAACACACAATACGACCTTTTATAAACTTTATCTGCCACCAGAAATCCTCCATGTTTTCCGAAGAGTTTTATCATTCATTTGAGAGCATTTCACTTTTGTGATGAAATGCAGCATTTAGAAGATAATTTGTTAAGATTCCACCAACTAAGAGTTGAACATCTTAAGAATATAAACAGACTTTGTCGAAAGAAGAAGATAAAACTCGCAGACAAACGTTCTTACACCTTGGGCTTCAAGTCATTTCTGGTTATTTTGAAGAATATACTTGAAGGTTTGAGCGGCATCAGAATGACTTAATTATTATAACTTTATTTTTCTACCTCATTACGTTTGGGCTTCGTTCTATACAATTGGCTCCAATCATCAAAAGTTTCTGTAGACATTCACCGCTTACCATCTTCTCATTTTTGTATCTTCCTATCCATTTTTTGATCATTTATGTCTTTCAAGAACATCTGATAAAAAGTCTCGGAAAATAATGATTCTGTTTTTTGATAATTGTCTGCCTCACGATAAAAAAAAAGGATGTGTCAGACACATGTTTGTTTGTGAGCCTTTGTAAACCATTAAGAAGGAAAATGTCTGCGTAGGATTTAAGAACAAAACAATTTGCAAAATTACAGATAGCATTAATTAGACAAATAAACATTTTCTTACTTACGTATGTAACACATTAGGAAAAGTAACAAGGAGAAAATTGGGAAAAAGTAAAATTTTTTACTCTTGCAATAAATTATATTCGAGATTTTTTCTATCACTTTGCATGCATGTTTGCTCAAGGGGAAAAAACTTTTCAGATTTCACAGCATAACATCCACTATAAAACATAAAAAAAAAGATTCAAGTGAACCAGGGTATCGAACTAAAAACCTTGGCCTAGTGCACGACGATGAAAATATTATATGAACACTATGTGCCGTTGCCTTTCAAATTTATCAGAATTGAGGGTTTCAACAAATGTAACGGGAAATAAGTTCAGACATCACTTGCAATTTTAAGTCAGATATTTCTCTCAAACATGCAAGAAAGTAGAAAAATGTCAATATTTCTCAAAGAAGACATCAGAGAGAAGATTAGGTTACAAGTCCTAGTCCGATCTGATTGGGCTCTTGGGACGCCATCGATAACATCCTACAGAGGTTTAAGTCCTAAATTTAATTAGTGCTGGATGGCTGTACCACCAAGACAAAACTAAGATGGATCGTCGTCTTAAGATTTAATCGGATATTGATCTGTATCTGGTCCGGATTTTGGGATAGACAAGTTAATTTCCGGATTTACATTGGAACCAAAAAGACTCGAGAGAAATATATATGTTAAGCCGGAAAACTATCACTTGTTAATTGGATGTTGGAGAAGAAAGTTTATAGATTTAGGATGTAATCCCATATACTCAGCTGTGAGTGATGAGAAAGGACGAATAAGAAGGACACGTAATTAATTATCAGGGAAAAGATCTCAAAACACTGTCAAGTCTCTCTCATAATGAATTTATCTGGTTTCCAAAATTAGCAGCCATGGAAATACAAACTGATTTACATAATGACAGACATTAATTACATTCATCGTATTCATTTGTTCAAAATCTATTTTATTATTAAAGAATCGATCAGTGAATTTTCTGTTGTAGGACATAATTAAATTCCTTCATAACACATAAAATCGAAAGGACAATTACTCCACGAGACGGCAAGAAAACGTTCCTAAGTGACAATTGTTCCCGTATCCTTGGCAACAAAGCTTGGAGGTGTTCCTAAATCGTTTAAGGATAATCTTGCATCCAATCTTCGTATCAACCTTCTGCGACAGAGACATGGCGATATTGATAGTTTTACAGTCTGCCATTATCTCTTATGTGTTGAAACACAAGAATATGTCCTAAAGTCATATTTTTTTGTTCCCATTTTTCTACTTAAAGAGATTTCAGTTACAATCAACTTACTGTAAAACAGTGAAAGTGTTGTTATAGCCAATTTTGTCTGAATAAATTTGAAACTAAGCAATGAAGGCAATCCTAAGATAGCAGGAGTCTTATTTTATAAATGTGCAGGTGCTCTTGTTAATTAAAACTGAGAACACTTTCATTGTTCTTGATTAAAACTTGAGAATTCTCTGTTAGATTCGATTTAAATTTGGCATCCTCATATTGTTATTAGCTTGATGAAATTATTCCCACGGGCCTCAGACATCTAGCAACTTACGAAAAATCAGCGGGTAGCTCCTGTTGTTTTATAAATGATGGGACACGGTGTCTAAAGCAGAATTCAGGAGGTCTTCTATTTTTTACACCATTAATAACTCTAATTATTAACTTTGCAATAACAACGTTTTTAAAAATAACAAGAATTCTGAGAGTATAGCATAAGCAATACTAGTCCCCTTACTGGCAAGTGTAATCTGGTTCCCATTAAAAATTAAAAAAAAAAGCAATAATTCCCATCAAAAATCATCGAAGCGAAATGCAAACTTGCTCTATAACTCATTAAGGCAGACTCACTTACCAAAAATCAGCTCAATATCTGCAAGCTTTTAGGAAAAAGGTGCGGAAAACCAAGCGGGAAATCTGGTTCCCCTCATAGATTTAAAAAGGTCGTAATTTTCAAAAAGTCATCGAAGAGGAACGAAATGCAAACTTACATTTGTAATCTGTAACTCATCAAGGTACATTCACATACCAGAAATCAGATCAATATCGGCAAGCATTTAGAAAAAAAGTGCGGAAAACCAAGTGGGACAGACGGAGGGACAGACAGACGGGCAGACGAGGAGGAAACCCATAGTTCCCTCCAGTTTCACCGCTAGGGGTCTAAAACAGATGCAACCAATTTGCAACTTTGTATTTGATAGTTTTACATCTTTAAATGTGGCTAAAAGATGAACATGTGCCAAAACTGAAGGGACAAACTTCATGATCTTCATTATGTTATTCGTTGGTGTGTAAAATTTAGAGTACTGCACGACTTTTTAAGTGCATTTGATACACAGTTGAAGTCCTCAGGTCAAAACGTGACAAGTTTTATAAAAACTCTAACAATTTTTGTCCCCAAGGTGACGAGGCCACGATTGTTCCTCTGCTATGTGAATGGTGATGGGAAAGGTACTAGTATGTCATTTAGAAACTGTCAATGATACAGGGTCCTGTTATCTAAATCCAGTCTAGCTGTTGAAAATAGCATTTACATCGAGCACGCTCAACAAACTACATGCATGATGCAAAATATATTTAATGACTTCCCCCCCCCCCCCCCCCAGCTGAGAATTCAACAAAATTTTGTCACTTTATCGACCATTTGTCTTCCATTTCCCAACTAGAATGCAAATAATTTAGTACTTGTAATTCTTTAGCAAAACTTGAGGAAGTTTGCAAAGTATCGAGTGTAACAAACTTGTGTACTTCTGGTTATATTCTGATAACGTGCAGAAATTGCAGCATCCCAAAAATGTAGGTAATGCCAGATTAAGCTATCGTTATCAATAATCAATAGGATTATGCTTGCTTTGATCTCAGTAACACTCAAATAAGATAATCGTGTTATACACCGACTTCAAGACAAACACACTAACAAAGGAATACTTGTATCTATCTACACGTACATATTCATTATATCGATAGGGAAAATCGAATTTCTAGAACTGGGACCACAAATAAATAAGAAATCTCCTTTAGACATCTGATTACTTATTTTCAAATTAAAGAAGTAAAAATCATCGCAAGAAAGTATCAATTTTTTTTTCCAGATGTGGGAAAAAATTGATATAGAAGTGATTCAGTCGTGCACGCAAGGTGACCTCTCTTATCAAGTTAATTACATTTTATTTCAATAAAGACGGTCTATTGAGTCGTTATCAAGAAATCTATTGTCAAATGGAAATCTGTTTGGTTTTGAAAAAAGTTTGTCTAAATAAAAATAATTCAAACTGCTTTGTCAAGTAAAAATTGAAAGACAATATTTTCTTTTCAAAATATGCCTATTTAAAGCATGGTTTACTTTTAGAGTGATTATTTTTATGCAAGATTTAATTAACTCACAATAGGATATTCATGATACAAAAACAAGAAAATAAGTTCATATGCACTGGGATAAGAATACTCTGATAGTCAATTTATACTGACGACTTCTGTGTATTTGTTTGTAAATGGATTACCAAAATCTGGATTACTTAATCAGTCTATTTACTTAACATATTAGTAGACGACAACAATTACACAATATTAATCCGACGCACAGATTATAACCCTTTGCCGTCGAGCAGCTCTCAAAACAGTTAGACAAATAAATCGGGTATGTGTAAGGATATTTACTAAGAGTTAGATCACTTCTGTATCTTGTTCATGCGAACTATGCTGAAAGCTAAAATATGCAATATGTATATATGGACAAGAACGTACACGTAAAACAAATAAAAGGGAGGTCGGACAGTTGACACAATATTCCCAAGTTCTTATTTACGACTTCTTGAAATTCGATTATTATCCAAAATATAAATACAATAAAGAAATAAATAACTAAGTACTAATTTTGTACAATATTGTGGTATCAACATAAAAACTGATATTACTTACTATATTTGTAGTCAGCGTCATTATGATGTGCGAATGATGATAAAAGTTGACTTATGCGCTCCGAAATGACAAAAAAAGCTATAAAACTTTTCCGTGTAAACTAGACTGCCTCTAAA